AAAAAATAAAATAAATAATATATATTAATTAAAATTTTCTTTAAATAATAATAAAATAAAAAATAATAATAACAAAAGGACAAAAAACACAAAAAACCATAAAAAAAATCATCTTAAAGTCTACTTAGGAGTGCCAATGGTAACCATAGGGGTGCCATTAGCCTCCCCCTTATCAACATTGATATTTTTTTCAAATTTATATTTTATTCAAAAATAAAATCATTATTGTTTTCTTAAAAACACATAAAATCGTATTATAACATCGACAGAGACAAATAATAAAATAGAACATTAAAATCGAGATGTGTCTCGTTGCATTGCGCAGATACTATTCTAGTAATATTTAATTTATTTATAACATCTAGGTATATTTCTGAATGTTATGATTAATTTTCAGTAAATATAAAGTAAGAGACTGTTTGGTTGGTTTACTATATGGATAAATCTATTTGTGTGGTTTAATTTATCTGTATAGATTGATAAAGTTTTTGTTTCAGAGAGTTTTTTCATAAATGAAAAAAACATTTTTTTAATTGAGATGAACAAATTTGGAAAAAAAAACAAATTAACTTTATGCATAAAAAATTCCCTAAAAGCTTATTAAATAACCCACTCTTCTATATTTTTAAGTCATTACCAAATATTCATGTATAGTTGACCGAATAAATCGTGAGTTCTATTAAACTCATTAAGTAGCTAACAAACATATCCTAAGTGTTACAAATGCTCTATTTTATATTTTATAAATAAAATAGTTTAACTAATTTTTTTTATCACCTTGGATATCCAACCTCTTATGCGAGCCGACTAATCCCAGGGCGACCATCTGCTTTGCAGATAGCCCGAAGTCACCGCATTTGAACCTCTGTGGCCACAAGGGGATTTTTATTTCTCTTTGGATTTGAACATGTGACCTCCTGGTACTTTTGACATTTGGAGTCAAGCTCAAACCAATCAGATACCACCCTTATGGTTAACTAAATTAAGGAGCGGTTTACCATATGCTTATTAGTTCAAGTTTAACTAAATTAAGGGGAGGTTTACCAAATGCGTACTTGTTCACTAGCTTCACTTACCTTATTGGATAACATTCTCAGTCATCAAAATAGATTGTTGGTAAACGTCTTTTATCCGATAAATACTTGTCATGTAAATGTTTTCTCTCTCACTTAGTGAATAAAATGGTGAAAACTCAAAAAGAGATGAACAAGTTTTTAAAACTTTTCATAATTCTTGACCATTTTATAATTATGTTTTTCGGAAAATCACGATGTTTTATAATTTTAGAAAGCATACGTACATGATTAAAAATAACGTAATACAATTCAAAATGTAAAAATACTGAGAGTTTAATATTTCACCATGATTAGAGTGGATTAGGGGTGTTAAATTTGTATCAAGACAAACCAACTACTTGTTGTACCAATAGTACCAATTTAGTTGGTATCATTCTAATTGGTTGGTAGTACGGTACCAACTATCTAAACTTGGTTCGTACGTGATATTAGAAGTCGTGTACCACGGTAACATCATACAGTGCCAATTTTTTTTAATGATTTATTAATTATAATATAATCAATGGTACAACATTTTTTGATTTTTAAAATTTTAATTATCTTATTTTCAATTTTACTAAATAATTATACAGATGGATATATGGAACTTTATTGAATTCATTCGTCTAACACTAACAACCTTAGCAATTCGTTCACACCTTCACGGTTCATCATCGCTCCTCAATGGCCGCTTGAATTATACTATCAATGAATACTTGTATTGATAGGGATAAGTAGTACAACACATATCAATTTGTTATTTGAATGCTGGATATCTTAGTGCATCTAAATCTTGTTGGTAAAAATATCAATATAAATAAATTTGTAATTTCAGCATTTGGGATGTTGGTACCAACAACCAAACTGTATCAGCATGTACCAGCAGAAAAAAAAATTGATACCAATTTAGTTGGTACTAAGTACAATTGGTTGGTATAATAATGACCAGTTATAATTGGTTAGTGCATGATATATGAAATAAAATATGATACCGTACCATGTTCACCTCTACTTGTTCCACTAGATAATTTCCTTTTTTCCGACCGATAAATTTCCTTCTATATTGAAAATGTAGAAAGAAGTGATATATTGGGGGTTGTTTGACAATTGCTGAATGGTTTGTTGCAGAATTATTAAGTGGTCAGAATGACTAAAAGACTCTCATGATATAATGCAAAATGAAATATAATTGTTTGGTAATTGTGTACAATGAAATTAGAACTCTTAATGATTAAGAGAGATTTATGATACAAAATCATTTAGAGGATTTTAGAACCATTAAGAAACAAATTTTTTTTATAACAAACAAGATTCACTTCTTAACGATTTAAAGATTATTTTTTAATAAAACTATTAAAAGGTAAATAAAGTTGTAGTTTAGCTTATGAAACAAAGTTGCTATTTGTTTACATCCTAAATTAGGTGTACATTCGAATCAAACACGTGCTGTGTGGTAATGAATGCAATATAACCTCTTTCCGCGACACATCTCCAACGCCATTCGCTCATCTACATCTCTTCTCCATCCATCCAAATTTCTTCTGCATCAAAAATGAATACCGGACCAGGACTCTTCTCCGACATCGGCAAGAAAGCCAAAGGTAATTTCAATTCTCAGTTCATCTTCCTCTTTACCCTAGCTTCTCCGTTTTCTAATCATCCTTGTATGTTTGTAATCAATTCACCGTTATTTATATGAAACTTTTGATTTGATTCTGCTTTGAGCAAATTTTCATATGTTACTTTTTTTTTGTGTGTAGATCTATTGACGAGAGACTACCTGACGGATCAGAAAATTTCTGTTTCAACGAGCAGTGTAACCGGAGTTGTAAGTATCGTCTGGACTCTTTTCGTTACCCTAGATACATTGATCCATGGAAATTTGGTTGGCTCGTTGGTGATTCCTTATGAATAGTTGACCGCATTTAACATTCTAGTCAAATTTTTATCGTTTGATTCGTTATAAATCGTTTCTTGACACACTGTTTTTTGGAAATACTATTGTTGTTTTAGATTTGAATTCTAGTAACTGGCATTTGTTTTTTTTTTCTTCCTAATTTGTGCTTAAATGACTTAAACGGAATATGAAGAATCATAAGTGGATTTATTTCTGGTTAAAACATATCGAGTAGCCGTGAATTGGTTCCCTTAGGAGTGATATGAAGGTGAGCTAGACTGATTTGGTTTAGACAGAATGAGTTTTTATGAACATATAAAGAACACTTTTCTGCTTCATGTGCTCAACCCTAATTAAGCTGAACGAAGTATGCAACTGTAAATTAGTTTGTTCTGTGTATTCAACAGCATTGCAAAACACCAGCATACATGCTTGCCATCATCTGCTTTCTTTTGCAATTTCCATCCTTACTTCATATATGCAATTTTATGCTTGAGATGCTGTATACTTATGGTCATTTCTCTTCAAGATCACTGGTTGAACTTTACCCCTTTCGTAATGAACATTTACTGTCTAGATAATATTATCTGAACTATGGCATTCATTAAAAGGATATTAGATTCGAGTAGCCAATTAGGTAGAATTGGTCTTTTATAAGCATATTAAATACGGGGCAACCCACTGTTCGTTGGGTTTAGGTTATGTTGCAACAGTGTTGCGACACACGCTTCAACACAAAAGTTCTCGAGGTCGAAAAGTCGTTAAGGTTTGAAAAGTAGTGGGAAATGGTTCTCAGTGGTAGGAATCTAGGGGTAGTCGAGGGTTAACCGCCACGTAGGTGTTCCCTTAGGATAAGTTGACATGCACAAAAGGCCCTCACCTCTTGTGATGATTAAGAACGAAGTTGAGCGTACCCAATATCAAGTGTCTTACAAAAGAACTTCATAGGAGTTTTATAGGCAAGCCAACCCCTTACATTAAAAGGAAATATAATCAAAAGATTCTAGCAACTTAGGAAACCAAATAAAAGCAACTTACTAAAGGAACTTGAACAAAATCTAATATTCTGGGGAAAGGAAATAATGATTAAGGATATAATATCTCAACGCTTGATTCTCAAAATAAAGTTCCCTTGTTGAAGCTAATGGTCTTACACAGTCTAACTCTTCTTCCGTTGCACCTGCATCAATTCCCCATAGTTGGAAAAGGGACTTGTCCTCAAGTCTTCTCCATGATACGGTCGTAGTTCTTTGACATTGAAGGGACTTGTTCTTCCAAAATGACTACCCAAAGTACCCTTTAAACTTTAAGCATCATTATTAGTCTTAATGAGCATTGAGGAATAGACAAGGCATTTCTTTTGAGAAGTACCCATCATGCACCCAGTAATCTCGCTTTGGTCCTATCTTGCATTCTTGCCAAGTGGTTTCAATTCTAGGTCAATTTCGTACAAATCTTTCACCATTTCAAACCCAGTAACTTGAACACTCGCCTAACTCAGCAAGGTATGCCTTCTACTCAAAGCATCAACCGCTATGTTGTGAATTTCAACCTAGTACTTGATGTATGCCTTCTACTCAAAGCATCAACCACTATGTTTTGAATTCCAACCTAGTGGTTGAGTGTGAAATTGTAAGATTGAAGAAACTGAACCCAAAGAACATGACTGTGATTCAATTTTGCTGTGAGTTGATGAATTTCAACACCTCAGGATCCGAGTAAAGGATAAAGGGCTTGCATAACAAGTACGGGTTCTAATGGCCAAGAGTTCAGTAGATGACATAGAATTCCTTGTTATAAGTGTTGTAGTAGTTGTTGGCCTCATTCAATTTTTGGCTGAAAAATGCAATGTGCATCCCTTCTTGACTTAACACAACACCAGTTCTTACTAACATGGCATCAGACTTCACTTTAAAAGCCCAAGTAAAATCAGGAAGAATAAGATCAGGAGATCAAGTTACTTTCAAGTTAATAGCTTCAAAGGCTTCTTGAGCTGTCTTGGTCTATATGACCTTCCCTCATGAGACACTCGGTAAGAGGAGCAATGATAGTGTTGAAATTTCTTATGAACCTTCTATAGGAAGACACGAGGTCATGAAAACTCTTTATCGTGTAGGCTTGCTAGTATTGGCCAAGTCATGGTAGCTTCGACTTTCCCTTTGGTCCATCTCAAAAGTTGGACCTTTTCAGGTTGGCATACAAATTCTGCTTTCTGAGCACATCAAACAAGCTTCTTAAATGTATCAAACATCTCCTCTAGTGAAACTTTTCAGGTTGGCATACAAATTCTGCTTTCATATAAAATAGTTTTAATACAATCTCATTGGTGGAATGAATAAAAAACTCATTTCTCTCTCCTCTAGTGAAACTTTTAGAATTCTTTATATTTGGAGTTTTCTTGTTTCTCTATTTTAGAGAACAAGATCGAGAATCTGTTGGAGCCATATAGAGAACAAAAACTCCATTTCCTCTATTCAGAGAATCTGTTGGAGATGGTCTTCTTATGGTATCATTCCATTACATCCCCATATTTGTAAAGGTTCTTAGACATAGTGTTGTGGGATATTTTGTAGCCGATTTCCCAGCTTTTGCTTCAGAGAATGGAGTATTGGTTGGACAAATCTTTTGGAATTCGAGCACCCTGTTATCTAAATCCAGCACATCTACTCGTGACTATTTATTTTACGGGGCATGTATTCAACTTGTCAATTTTAGGAAAGATGCTCACTTCTTATAGATTCAAGGCAACTTGGTTGAAATCTTTCATGTAGAATGTATGAATCTGAGAACTCGTTGTTCGTCATTCAATGTTATCAATCACTTCATTGCAGGCAATAACGTCATCTGCAACAAAGAAGGGTGGTCTGTCAACCGGGGATGTGGGAGCAGTGTACAAATACAACAATATATTGGTCGATGTGAAAGTTGACACAGAATCAAAGGTATGTTGGTCACTACGTTGAATTTCATGCTATGGCAAATGGAGAAAGTTCAAGTAATAACTGTAAATATTTTGAGAACAACCAACTATTTCTTGAGTTATTCATGTTGAATAACCCTAAAATGTTCATGAATTCATCATGAATATCATGATTTTCATCATTCATGATGTTCAAATATCTATCACCATTTCCATTGTGAATTGGTTTCCAAGTTCTGAAAATATTTACGGTTCTCATTTGAACCTGCCCACTAGCAAATACAGGGCTTTGTTTTTCATGTTTCACCTAATGCCACACTGATTTGGCAGATTGCTACAACATTGACTTTCACAGAGCTTGTGCCCTCAACAAAGACCATTGCATCATTCAAAGTGCCTGATTTCAACTCCGCCAAGGTACGGGTTTTATTACCATCATCTGTTTATTTATGACTTCTAGCTCATGAAATTACAATTCTTATTTGGCAAATATCCAAAATATATTTCATAAAATCAATGGGAACAAGTTATTTATAATGACAACGGACTAATATGTATAATATTAACATGGATACGTTCCAAAAAAAGAATAGAACATCTTAAGAAGTGGAAGTGTTGCAATTTTCACAAAGAGGATAACTAATCTTTAGTATCAGGGTTTGACAACGAATGGTGTGTATTTTGCAGGTTGAGGTTCAATATTTTCATTGCCATGCTACTTTAGCATCAGCAGTTGCTTTGAGCCAAACCCCAACGATCGACGTTTCAGCTACAATTGGTACTCCGAAGTTTGTTATTGGCGCAGAAGCAGGTTATGAGACGTCTTCTGGGAGATTGACCAAGTACACTGCTGGTATAAGTATGAACAAACCAGAATCTAGTGCTTCCATAATCTTGTAAGCAATTTCACTCGTTAGAACCTTTCTACTTCATATATGTTGAAATCTCCCTTTGGTCCTCCAATCACCTTTTTGGAGAGTAATCTGATGACGTGCTAGAGCATGGTATAGAGTCAAGGTCAACATCTCGGACATTTGTACCCTAGGACTAGGACACTCTATCTACCTTCCGTTGGAGATGACGTGCTATAGCATCTTCAACAACTCCTCTAAAATGGAGAAAAAGGAGATTTTGGAGTTCTTGAGGCTCTTCTTTTTGCTCCAACAACTTCTTTAAAATAGAGAAAGTAGGAGAGAGACGGAAAATTTCTAGAAATTTTGGGATCCTCCTAAATTAAACGAAGGAAGAGAGAAACCGACTTTATTGGTCTTCCCATGAAAAATCTCCCCGACTTGCCAATAAAATTAATCGGAGGAAGAGGGAGAACGTTTTTTAATATAATTGATGTTTTAATATCCAAAATGGAGAAACTGTTGGAGTTGAATGCAATTTTGTTTGAGGATTTTGACATTTGCTTCTCCAATTTGGGGAAACCGTTGGAAATGCTCTTAGAGTCCGACATTGTCAATAAATTTTGCAACCTTCCCTTCTATTTTCAAAGGGCTGTTCCGGAGAGTAATCTAACAGGATTCCACATATCACTCACACTCCATCAAATTATGACATTAAACCCATTTAAGAAAATATTCTAACCAACATTATTTTTCAGGGGTGACAAAGGGGACACGTTACGGGCATCATACATACACCATCTGGATCAATCCAAAAAAACTGCTGCAGTCGGCGAGATTATCAGAAGGTTCTCGTTAAACGATAACACCTTCACAATTGGAGGATCTTATGCCGTTGATCATCTCACAGTGGTCAAAGCTAAACTCAACAATCAGGGAAAGCTGGGTGCACTCTTGCAGCACGAGATCATTCCCAAATCACTCGTGACTCTGTCTAGCGAGCTGGACACGAAAGCGTTGGACAAAACTCCCAAATTTGGTTTGGCTCTTGCACTCAAACCTTGATCAGAACCATTTTAAGAGTGAGTTGATATATATTTTTTGTTGAATCAAATTGAAGTGTGACTTTTTTAACTTGTAATTTTTGTCCCTAGATTAGCCATTCGAAGGGGAGCATTCAATCAATAAGCATTCGTTGCATTTATATACATTTTCATGGGTTTTTCCAGATTTCTAAATGTACTGTTTAATGGTTGCTGTTGGAAATCTGCGGACGTCCCTGAGGTTATTTAACTACATTTCTTTAATCCAAACAAGCTACTTGAAATTTTAAAATAAAAAATTACTATTTAAAACTTACGTCAATCAAACCCTTTGCCATCCATTGTCGCGTCATTGCTCTCCGTTTTCAATCACTAACCGTCACCCTTGCTATCAATCTCCTTTTTGATCGTTTTGTTTTGTTTTTCGATTCTCCATCTTTTTTATATGTGTTCCATTAAATTGTTGTAAAGTAGGCATAATCAAAAGAAAAAAAACACATCAAAAAAAGGAAAATTGATGACGTGGGACAACGACGACATGAGAGGTATCAAGAAGGCACCAATGAGGCTATGAAGAGTAGCGGGGGGAGCGATGTTGTTATTTTTGGGGGGGGGTGGTTTGAATGATATAGGACCATAGAGGTTGGGAATGTAAAACTGATTTAAGTGTTTTTTTTTACTTTAAAAGCTTCATAGCTGACATGTAGCTTTTTTGGGTTAACATGATGTAAATAACCAATTTTTAAAAGTTAGATGATTTATTTATTCAAAAAAGATATTCATTGACTTAATGATTCAAAATGAAGAAGCTAAGGAAAATTGACTCAAATGACCATTTCACACATATAAATTGGTTTTCTAACAATTTCTCTCACGGATTGACCTGAATGTCACTACTTCCACAATATACTGAGGACATAGCTAAATGGCAAAAAAGAATCAATAATTGCAAACTTGGCCATCGCAATTGCATATTTGTGTTGAATTTTATTTTTTTGCCTCTTAGCTTATGGATCTGAATACTACGGAAATAGTAACATTTGGATTAATCCAAAAGGGAAAAGGTTATAAGACCAATTTGGATGTATGAAATGATCATTTGAGTGAAGGACCCAAAAATTAAATAGTTTTTTATTAAAAACAATTTAGAGACTTAATCATTTAAAATAAAAAAGTTAGTTTTTTTATAAAGTTTTCCTTTCATATTATTGATATTAAAATATTGTAAAAGCGAAGTTAATTGTTCTTACATGTCTTGAGCGGAGTTCCTCGGAAAGCAATGCATTCTGGGAAACTTATGTAACAATTGTATTTTTAAAATATATACGGTTGTACAAAATAAAATGATATAATAACATCTTTTACGATCCTATAATTTTTTACTTTATTGAAGGAACGAAGAGGTGATCTATACCATCATATCTATTAAAGTGGGTCTGCCACCGGATAACAGATGGATCATAAAATTAATTGTTGTTAGTGTATGATTATAGAATATAGATATAGCCTACCTATTTCAGTCATTTTCAACAATTAAGAGGAAAACGAATGGTGTAATAAATTTGTACTTAAAATATGGTACATCATAAGTGCCGACATGTTGATCACATTTCATTTTTCAGTTTTCATGTAATAACTAATTAAAATTCTGTTAAACATACAATGACTTCTAAAATGGATGAATATATATATATATATATACACACACACGAGGAAACATGTAAATATAGAAGTTAAGATGAGAATTGTGCTTTAAAATGGAATTGATTTGGTGTTTATCATTAATGTTGATCTAGTGGAACTCTTCAATTAAGATTGATCAACGGTGAAGATCCTTTATTACCTTTCTCATCATAACTCTCATTCTCATCAGAAGTCAACCATATATATATATATATATATATATATATATATATATATATATATCAATAGAGAGAGAGAGAGAGAAGGGTTCAAATGAGAACCCCTTTGATTTACGAGAATGAGAGAACAACCTATATACCAAGTAATGTGATAACAATCAAAATATAGGGTTTTTTTAAATTTAAAATAATATTAAAAACGATTTCAAAAGGTTTTGAGAGGCGAAAGGGTAATCTTGGAATTGGAAGTGATAATATTTAAAAAAACACATAAAAGACTCTGATCATCTAGGAACTGATAACATCATAAACTATGGTGGTTATCTTGGTTAATAGAGGAAGAAGATGTCATAAGTTTTAAGAAGATAGGAGGAAAAAAATCGAACATCAAGCAGTATGAGGGTGAAGTTTGTAGAGACAATTAATTCAAGGTTTGCTTATCACAAGTTTATTACAAGTAGAACATGAATCACTCACAATCACTCAATTTGAAGATTGTTTGGTTCGATTAGGGTACGAGTATCACACAATTATCACAAGAAATCTGACTTCTATCGGTTCGACTAGGGTTAAAAATGTATACTCGATTCGTATTTGGCTGTGATAATCATATGATACGTTAATTCAAAGACGAATCGATTAGCACACGATTTTCACAAGATACGATTCGTATTTGGATCCGACGACAATCTGTTCGGTTAAATTCCAAATCACACAATTATCACAGCCTAATCGTGTATATGTTATCACACGATTATCACCTAGTACGACTGCACTTTGTTCGGTATCACAACCCTATCGATTATCACACTGTTATCATACCTAATAGATACAAAATGATTATGATGGAAAATTTGGTGGTTGTATCGATTAGGTTCACAATGATCGCATTGTTATCATACCCAATGGATACAAAATGGCTGTAATGAGAAATTTGGTGGTTGTATCAATTAAGTTCACAATTATCACACTGTTATCATACCCAATGGATAAAAAATGATATCATTTTCTATAAGACAATTTATGTACAAGACCTATGAATTAAATAAACATAAAAAGAAAACTTAATAACTAAAACGTTAAATAGTAGATACTTACTCACATTCGTGTACACAAGAAGTCGAACACGAATTCTTTGAAAATTGGAAAAAAAAAGTGAGTATAGCTAGATTCAAGAGATTTAATCCCGATTTATATATTAAAGTAACTCACACCTTACAAAATAACGCGTTCTAACGTGCCATAACGTGTTACAATACAAGCCCAGCCTTAGAGTGGAGCCATAGGGGTCAACCCGACGACGAACCCAAGCCTTGATGCCATAACGCGTCATAACGAGTTATTTAGAACCATGCCCATACCTTACTCGTTGCCAGCCGTAAGTCTTGAGTTGTGATGCACTGGTTAAAGCTTAGGGGGGAATGGTGAAAATATCATCTTCTTTGGATTCAAATCCAAACACTACCAAAGCTTTTTTAACTAAGAAAATTCACCTGTGATGACTCCAAATCATTCACAGTCGTTCGAAACATTAATCAGTACACATAAACTGATAAAAAAAAAACAGTCTGAACATATATCCAAATTATATTTACAATTGTGTTGTCCAAAATAGTAAAAACCCCGTGGTCAAAGTTGTTTTCCCATTTAGTCCAAAGTCATTTTTTAGGTATGCATTAAATGCAATAATTTTGTTTCCTATAAAAATCCAAATCTTTTTGGATTTGGTGCAATGTAATCCAGGGGAAGATTTTTTTGACATAATTTTTATGTTATTTAAAGATGTAAAATTAAAAAGACAAAATTCGATACGTAAATATAACGATTTAAGAAAGAAAATTCAAACGCCATAAATACATAGCGGTTCGGCCAACCATAATCTAATTTATTTTCTGGGTCCTTTCGAGACACACGATCCACTAAAAGCAACTCTAACCATATCACCAAAAAAAAAACACCAAAAACACCAAATATGGTGGGTCTATAAACAAAAAAAAAAAATTCAACTCCAATCATACTCCAAAAAAAAAAAAACTAAATTTGTGGACCCCACATTAAAATAACATATTTTATTTATCAAAAAGTTAATATTTATAATTTCTAAAAAAAAATGGATTAAAAAGAATTAATGTTGGGGACCACCTTTTTGGTGTCCAAATTGTGCACGGCATTTTTGCCGTTCAAATTCACCCTCCGGCAAAAAATTGGTGAGTTTGCCGATCGATTGGATCTTTCAAAACGGCAAATACAAGGTTTTGTCATTCGATTGGAGTTGCTCTAAATGCAAGTTCTTTATGGTAAAACTCAAACCGTAGAGTAATGTTTGTATTGCAACGATATTCACTTTTTTAAGAAAGTCGAATGTGGATCACTCACACAAATCTCAAAGTTTTTTTATGTTAGTCGTGGGTGTCCAAGCCAACTTGCATGTACCTCGTGTAATCCTATGGGCCCTGGAGAATATTCAAGAAATCCCCATTGGCCTTATAAGACTCGAACTAGTAACCTTTGAGAAAAATCTCCAAAAGACCCAAGACTTAGTGGCCGTTTATTAAACGTGTATTTAGTAAGTGCTTACTTGGTAATTTTCCCTATTGGATGAACATGATAAGTGTCAAAAATCTTATCCGGTAAGAGCAACGATAAAGATTAAGAGTCTTTTTCGGTAAGTGGGGGTAACGACTCTTACCCGGATAAGCACTTCTCGGGTAAATTGTTGCATACGATACTATTTTGATGTATTACAATCTTACCCGGTAAAATAAATTACAATGTTGACTTCTAATGATAAGCGTTTACCGGGTAAGCATTTAGGTAAACGTCCCCTTATTGACAGTTGAACTAACCATAGAAGGTTACAAAATCTTAACATTCTACGAGATGATAAATCACAGATCGAACCGTCGAATCAGAAAAATTGTGTATAAATATTTCACAAAATTGCTTCCATTTTGGGTTGAACACATAGAAAGCAAATTCTCATATTTGTTACAAATATTTGAATATCTCATAAAATGGTAAAAATGAAATTGAGATAAAAAACCATTTATGACATGATACTAAAAATGTTTGAATTCCAAAATTTTAACTAAAAAGAGTAAACTACAAATTTAGCCCCTGTGGTTTGTCAAAAAAACACTTTTAATCCCTATGATTTTGAAATTACAAGACGGTTATAGTAGTTTACAAAAAGGTCCAGGTTTGATCATGCTCTTTAACGACGATCAAAAAATTCTATTAAGTGAAAGACTTTTTGTCTTTTTATCGTTTTCTTTTTTGTCTTTTACGCAACCAAAACTGATTTTATGATTTTGGTTATGTTAGAACCAATCCAACGACGTATTGAATTACACTTCCAAAATTAGAAACAAAACAGAAATTAACAGGAATTTAACCAAGAAATTCGGTAAAAAGTGAACCTTTTACGATGAAATCAATATGTGTAGAGATCGAGAGATAGAGGCATGCAATTGCAGTGTCCTAAGACGAAATTTCGCCCCCAATCGTGCGTTGGTAAACATGCGTCGTTTTGAGGATACAACTATCTAATCGGATTGATGCATGTCATTTGGTTTTTTTTTTCTGAATTTTTCACCTTTTTAAATAACTATAAAAGTATAAAATGTAAGGTGTTAGAATAAAAAATATTTACATATTTATGATGATTAATAATATACTAAATTCCAAAAATATTTAGTATAAGGCTTGTTTTGAAGTTATCGATAAAACTATTCTAAATATGTATTTTGTAAAAAGAAAAACACATTTTTCTTAATGTAGTTTAATTAATATCGATTAGGGCCGTAAATGAACCGAACAAACACGAACAAAGGTTTGTTCGATCATGTTCGTTCGTTTAGCTTAACCGAACAAACGAATGAACACGAACGATTGATGAACGAAAATAACTGTGTTCATGTTCGTTAGTTTAGAAATCAGGTGTGTTTGTGTTCCTTTATGTCCGTTCGTTAAAATGTTAAACGAACGTAAACAAACGAACACAAACGAAATGGTTAAATGAACGTTAACGAACATAAACAAACGAACATATCTAAACAAACGTAAATGAACAGGTCTAAACATAAATGAACACAAACAAATGGTCTAAACGTAAATGAACATGTCTAAACGAACATACACAAACGTACACAATACTTGTCATTCAATTAACAACTATACACCAATTATCCATACTTTAAACATAAACAAAACAATCATTAATATACTAATACTTAAAAAAGACTTTTCAAAATTTGAATTCAAACTAAAAAAATAGAAGTTATATATTAAAATTAATATATAAACGAACGTTCACGAACATAAATGAACGAACGAAAGACTCTTGTTCATGTTCGTTCGTTTAACTGAACGGACAAACAAATTTCTCCATCTTCGTTCATTTATTAAATAAACAAACATAAACGAACTTCCCGTTGAACAGTTTGCTGAACTTTTGGTTCGTTTACAGCTCTAATATCGATTATGTATATTAACATGATACACGTAGCGTTTGCATAAAAGGGTTGTACGGTACAACAAGGAAGGAAGAAACACGGCCAAAATGAGTGTAATTCAAAAAAGGAAGAAGTTAAAGAGGTGAAAGAGTGGTACAGAGGCAGAGATGTAAGGTGCATTTAAGATTCATCACATGCAACGCCATGAATGCGTCTAACCTCAAACAGGATTTCAAATTAATTCCTCTTTATAAATCATCACTATCGCTATTAATTTTTAAATTGATGCTTTTGGGGTAACGTCGATCCATCCATCTCTCTACACACACCAACCGGCGATCATGGAATCGGAGGTGGTCGAGTTGGGCTGGCCCAATCTCAGGCTGGTCGAAACCATCTATGAAGAAAACTCCGGCGACGATGCCTCCTCCTCCACCACTTCTCCTTCATCTCCTCCGCCTCCCTCCTCCCCTTCCGCCACCTCTCTCCGATCCCGAGTTAAAGTTTGGTAAGTTGTAATTATCCTCTTTTTGTAACAGCAGACTGTTGGTTCCATCGGTAATTAATACTTTGATCTGGTCTTTATTTATAAAGGTTGTAATTTCAAGTTACTTTTATAGATTCAAATTCAAAACCCTCGTTTTGTGTATGTTTCTGTGTGTACAATATATATATATATATATATATATATATATATGAAACACTTTTCACAAGATTAAACAATTTCATGAAAAAATTTAATAAGATTAAACAATGAAATCGACAAATGAAAATGGTTTACACGGTTTATACAAATTGGATGGTTTGCACGATTTGTATAAATTAAGTTGTTTGCATTTGATCGTTCCCCTCTCTCTCTCTCTCTCTCTCTCTCTATATATATATATATATATATATATATCTCGCTCCTCAATCAAATATATTTATTAAATTAATTATTATCTTAAATCTAATATTATATTTGTTTTCTATCATATATTATAGGTCCCTCAACAATGGAGTTGAAACCAATGTGGTCGTGCATGTTCAAGGATCAATTTTTCACTTGCACAAGGTACTTGCTATAAACAATAGATATATCTATATCTATATACAAGGTATATTTTAAATGTAACTATGTTTATTTATATAATCAATACAACTTTATCTAAATAAAGTTCATTAATTTTGATCAATACTTTATATTATGAAACAATCAAAACTTTTATAGAATCATGTATTCATCAAATCAAATAGACAGTTGAGATTGAGTTGTATTAATTATACAAATGTAAAAGGTTGCATAATAATTCATCTCTCTGTATATATATATATACATATACATACATTCTTATGATATATATCTCATATGATGTTGGTGTTCTTATGTTTTATGTTCTTTTCATAAAATGAGGTTGCTTTCGTTTGCAGAATTTATTCAAACCGTTAGATTGAGATGATCTAACGAACGAGATTAAAAAGATGGTTATAATCATTTATTTTAAAAAATACAAATATTTTTCGTTAATTTTTTAAATCGAAAATGAGCAAAAATATAACATGTAATCAATTTACATGCCTCAATATTTAATGCAAAGTTGAACATTTATTAAGAATATTATTAATTTTTGGGTTTCACACATAGGATCCTCTGGCTCGGTGCAGCGGATATCTGAAACGGCAGTTAACGGAATCCTCCGAAGTTATTATCTCGCCGGAGTTAAAAATAACGCCTCACACCTTTACTCTAGTCGCCGACTACTGTTACGGCGGCCACCTCTTCATTACGCCCTTCAACGTCGCTCCTCTTTTACTGGCATCCGAGTTGCTGGAAATGACTGACGACGTCGATGGAGACAACAACGTCGAGAATCTCCGGCGAAAGACGGAGTCGTATTTCTGCCGGACGGTCGTTGTTGACTGTGAGTATGCGGTGGTGGTTCTACAGTCGTGCATGGCTTTATTGCCGGATGTGGAGACGAGAACGGGGCTCGTAAGCAGGTGTATAGAGGCTTTGATTAGCTTAAAGCGTGATGTTGCCGCCGGCGATGTTTTGACTTGGTTTGACGGCGTTCAAGAGTTGTCCGGCGAGGAGTTTTGTTTAGTCGTCGGCAGCTTGCACCAGAGGTTGACCGGTAGTCATGATTTGCTTTACAGAATCATTGATTTTTATTTCAAGGTAATTATACAATAAATTTTTATTAAGTTTATAAAATAAAACAATAAAATGTTTTATCTAAAGAGATTTTAATATATTTTTATAACGTTGTTGATATTTTAACAAGTTTTTAGTACATTTTTCATAAACATTTATAAACAGCTTCTAAAGGGTCATTTACTAAACACTTACTTGATAAATGTTTAACGCATAAATTTCCGTATTAGATTAACATTAGAAGGGCCAAGAATATCATCTCTCTTGTCCAGTAAGTGAGGATTGTGACTCTTACCCAGTAAATTGTTGCATTCGATGTGTTTTGATGTACTAAAATCTTAAGTATCAAAATAAATTATAGTGTTAGACTTCTATTGATAAGCGCTTATCGGGTAAGCATTTGAGTAAACGGCTTATAAAACATTTTCGGTGTCATTTAAGCAAAACTTTGTGATAGTTTCGTTCGATATTATTGGGGTGTTTGGGATTGTTTATGAAAACAATTTATTGACTTATTCCGTTATGGTATCGGTAATAAGCAATTTTGAGTGTTTGAATAACAACTTATACCGGTGCCAAACCGGTAATAAGGAGTTTTTAAAGAAGTTAAACCATTTTGACTTATAATAAGTTGATAACTGTTTTTTGTAGAAAAATATAAGTTGTTTAAAATAAGCAACCCCAAACACCCCTTATAAGAAATTATTTTCGTTTCTGAATTTTGGATACAGGAAAATGGCGGGAAGATGACGGAGGAGGAAGGAAGCAAGATCTGTAACTACATCGACTGTACGAATCTATCTTCTCCGGTACTCATGCACGCAGTCCAAAACCCTAGAATGCCGATAAGGTTCGTCGTTCAAGCCATGTTTATCGAGCAACTCAACACACGGCGTTCCGTTTTCTCCGCCGCCCAGACCCTAAAAAGCAACAACCACCACCGCCACCCAATCAAACAACCTCCCGACGCCACCTCCGTCACCCTTGGTGCGATCCTTCAACGCGACGCCGCACTCCGGCAAGTGGCGCACCTGAGAGCCACCATGGAGTGCACCAGCTCTCGTATTCAAAGCTTGGAAGAAGAGATTAACGGTATGAGGAATATTCTAAACAAATCGGATACGGGTCAAGTGAAGTCCGAGAGTTTTCGGTTTAGCTCCGAGAGGAAGGTTGAGAGAGGGCAAAGAGGGTCGGTTTCTTCGGGTGGTTTTCGGGTGGTGGAGATGGAAAACGAATTGGACTATTCGGGTGATCCAGGGAGTCCAAAGCGTTTCGGGAAGCGAGTAATGAACGGGTTAAAGAGTGCATTTAGGATATCGGTTTTGGGTCGGACTCGGATTGAAACAAAAATGGAAAAGAAGAAAAATTAGTGGTAAAATGTACTATTTTTGTAGCCATTCGCCCATGGATTTATTCTTTGGATGAGATGATGAGAGTAATTAACCGTAAATTTACGAATTATATTATAAATTTAGATATCTATAATATTATATATATATATATATAGATTGGTTATTATATAACCCTTGACATTTATGCAACCAATACAACTCAATCTAAACCGTTCATATCATTTGATTAATATGTGATTTCATAGAAGTTTTTATTGTTTCTTAATATAAAGTATAAATCATAATTAATGAACCATATTTATCTTCCATTAATATACAAATCATAATAAATGAACTCTCATCATTTCTATAAATATCTCAATATATTGGATTGTATTGGTTGTACAAATGCGATGAGTTATATATATATAAACCTGGATATCCAACTCGCTATGCGAGCTGACTAATCTCAGAACGATCACCTACTTTGCAGATAGTCCAGAGTCACCGTATTTGAACATATGTGACCACAAGAGAATTTTTATTCCTCCTTGGATTTGAAGCTATAACCTCCTGATATTTTTGACTTTTGGAGTCAAGCTCAAACCAATCAGACACTATCCTTGTGGTTAATATATATTATATTTTAAAAACTTATTGATGATATAAGCTTTGATTATATGGAAATATTTATCATAATAAAGGTATAATTTTTTATATTTAATTAATAATTAATATTTTTATTAAATTATATTTAGTCAAACATATAGTTTTTACAACTTATTACTAAAATAATCAGTATGTCCTAAAAAATTGCATATTTGTCCCGTGGAGATCTAAGAATTTTTCCGAACGGGTTGGATCAAGCATATGCAAAATACGGGTTTGATTTGGGAGAGAGTTGTACGATCCCATATTGATTTGGGGAGGGGAACTAAGGTTGTCGTATAAGGTACCAGATACTTCTTCTATTAGACTCGTTTTAAAATCACGAGTCAGGTGTGTGACAAGCGTACAATATTTGATACGATTAGCCCAAGATGTTATAGATGGTATCAGAGTCGGGGACTAGACTGGTGTGCCAGCGAAAACGATAGGCTCCCAAGGGGGTGGATTGTAAAATCCTACATTGGTTGGGGAAGGGAACTACAGTTGTTTTTATAAGGGATCATATACCTTTCAGATGTCTAAATTTTTCACTTATAATAAACGAGTGAACGGGTACACGAGGATCATAATCGAGTCTTAACAGATCTGCCTTGTATTTGTCTAATTATGTCGACATATTTGTTAGAATCATGAACTTGTGTTGATGCATCTTTTAATTTTAGTTAATAAAATTAGTGTCCATTTTCAAAAATAAGTTTCTGTTTTTTCATTTTACACTTTATTATGAGATGGAGAACATTTTTCTCTCCATTATTAATGTAGGTATATACACTTTCAACTACAGGGTTGCGTTCCAGAATATTATTGTGGTTTCTATTTCATTTCATTTTCCATTCATGAGGCTAACAAAGTTAGAAAAGTCCGTTAAATTAAAGGAGTATGTTCATTTTATTTTATTTTCATTTTTATCAAATATTTATAAACTATATAATTTATTAAAGCTGTGAAATGTATATATAAATGTGAGTTATTATGCAACTATTTACATTTGTACAACCAATACAACTCAATCTCAACCGTCCATTTTAATTTGATGAATATGTGATTTCATAAAAGTTTTGATTGTTTTCTAATAAAAAGTATTGATCATAATTAATAAACTATAATAATCTTTCATAAATATTCAAATCATAATAAATGAACTCTCATCATTTTTATAAATATCTTAATTGATTGGATTTCTCGTGTAAGAACCTCGATCTTTTGTTATATTTTTTACCGAGTAAGATTCTCGATCTTTTTTATATCCATCTGATAAAATAAACTGACACTTAACTAGATAACTTACTTGATAAGAATTTGATACATAACCTCCAAACTATATGGATTTTCCCATACATTTGAATATGATTCTTTATATATTTAACAAATAATAATCAAACTTTATCTTGTTAGTATAATTTTATTTTAAAATAAGCAATTTAATATTCATAAAAAATAAGGAGAAAAACAAAGCAATTTTTTTTTGCTCTTTTAACAATCAAGTAAAATTATGTTTTTAGTCCTTGTGGTTTGTTGAAAATTTCTATTTTCATTTTTATGGTTTTGAAATTACAATTTCATCCCTATGGCTTATTTATAATTTATAACTTTTTTTCATCCTTATGATTTAAAATTTATTGTTTATTTTGTCCCTACAGTTTACAATTCATTTCTAATTTAGGGGCCGTTTACCAAACTTTTACTTGGATAAGTGAATACTAAGTCATATTACCTTACCGGATGAATATGGTAAGGACTAAAAATCTTACCCGATAAGAACGAGATAAAGACCAAAAGTCTTACCCGGTAAGTGAGGGCGACAACTCTTATTATGGTAAGTGTTTACCAGGTAAATTGTTGCATACGATATCGTTTTGGTATGTTAAAATCTTACCCGCTAAATAAATGATAGTAATAAATTTTACTGGTAAGCGCTCACCTGGTAAGTGTTTGGTAAACGGCTTCTTAGACATTCATACTTAAAAGTTAGTGTTTTGGCCTTAGGGACTAAAATAAAAATGAATTGCAAACAATAAGAATGAAAACCGAAATTTTGAAACCATAAAGAGAAAATTCGTAATTTTTAACAAACTACAAGGACTAAAAACATAATTTACTCTAACAAATAAGAAGGGAATATCCCCTTGGGAGTTGGACAACTTTTTGACCTCTTGTTTGTTGGTTTTAGTATCGGTCAAATTGCATTAAAAAGTAATGTATTTTTATCTGATTTTTATTTTGGATAACATATTTTTTAAATCTTTATTTTGGTATCTTAATTGTAAAATATCAATCTTTTAAGTACCTGGTCAACTTGATGACTTACAAATGTTGACTAGGATCAGGTTTTTATTGATGTGACATTGTTTATTTATTTTATCAATGCCAACTAAGAAAAAAAATTCATGTCATTTTTAATTTTTTTTAGATATCTGTATTTTTTTTCAATAAAGGAAAATTCCACATCATTTTTTTTAAAATTTGTATTTTCTTTCAATTAAAAAATTCATGTCATTCTTTTAATTTTATTATTTTGTGAAATACGTAATTTTCAATTAAGAAAAATTACATCTTTAGGCCTATTATTTGTTTAAATTTTAATTAACTAAACAAGACCAAATAATAAAAACATTTATAATCATGGCTAAACATCTGATAAGTTAATTAACAAAAATATTCCAGATGGTTAAATATTTTACAAAAATGACGTATCAATTATAATAAAAGGGCAATAACATAACACCGCTATCAATTATAAACCAAAATGTTCTTATACTACGTTAATGCTCAACCAATATTACACCTGGCTCCACTTAGTCCTTTTAGATGCAGTTTCTTCCCCTTCTTTTGCTTCAACTTCAAATAAGGAAAAAATCACGTTAATTACCTAATGACTTTTGAATGACAAATCGAAAAAATTAAAAACATAGAATCACAATGTTTACTTACCACAATCGGTGGAACTGCACCAACCCTTTCCCTTTGAAGTCCTGCCGCTTGAACTGCCTCTTGAACCACTGCCTCTAGGCCTACCAACCGGATAATGTTAGAGTAAATGACTTAAGATATTGTTGGACTGGTGTTTACTGATAATGATACACCGGTACTGTATTTTGATCAACTTTAATTTTGTATGCTAGGAGACGATATTCATTATGCGTATGATGAGATTCGATCACATGTTAACCTTAAATGCGTCTTTTACGCATGTTCATATCACCCAAGATCGTAATAGTACGTCTCTAATAAAATGAAATGTGGGCATTTTGATATCACTTATATTATGATACATACATTCAAAATCTTCTCTGTTTGGAAAAAGTGAATCCATTTTGGACAACAATTTGATTTAAAAAGAAGCAACACAAAAGCACCTAAAAGTCCAAGAACATGAAACATAAGAAGGGTGGTCCTATCGTGCAAAGTTTTCAAGTAGGAATAGATTGAGCAGTACGTACGAAGGGTGTGGTATCCCAATAGCCTCCAGAACCTATTGCATTCCATCCACAAACATACAAAACAACTCTAATGGCATCATTCTTGCCAAATGGTAAAATTCACCACATTTGCATATGGCACCTGTATTTAGAAACAGTTTGCAAATATATATATATATAGGTTGCCATTTGAATCTGTTATATCATGATCACATTTCCATATGGCATCTAAAGTGGAATGTGATTGCAAACCACTAGTTAGGTAAACATTAAATTCATTGCATCAATAATTAACTAAGAAAACCCATGAAACAAACCTCCACCTTGTGCCTGCACTAGAATTATCATCGTGCATAACACCACCACCACCACTGACTTATCTGGAGTTATGGATTGCGATGGATACCTATTCCAACTACTTCGTAATTATAAGCTTACATTTATGGCCATATAAGGCCTTGTTAAAAGACATATTCTCATAATATAATAGGCAACATAAGGAGATTTTAGAACTAACCTGATAGTCATTGCAATGTGATATAACAGATTCAAGCCCTAAAAACACAAATTCGGGAAATTTTGGAAAAGTTCTAAAACCACAAAAAATCGAGTTGATGAAGAAGAAATACAACAATTTTACATACCTAAGACCAAATAACATCGATGTAGGAGATTGGTGACGACGAGTGAGGGAAGATTTTTGCAAGAAGAATTCGTCGATTGAGGAAGCCGATCGTTGAATCGAAGGAGTCGGTTGCTTAGGGCGTCGATTGAAATGCCTGGGGAAATTGAGTTTTAAAAGATAAGGGGTTTAATATTTTCCATGTCATTTGGTTACATGTCAATTTTTATTCCACATCATTTCTTTAAAATACACGTCATTTTTATTTTACCGGTTACCTGAAGTATAGGTAACCCAGGTACTTGAAAGTTTGAGATTTTATATCTTATGTATCAAAATGAAGGTTTTGAAAGTATGTTATCCAAAATAGGAATAAAACTAAAGTACGTTACATTTTTATGCAATTTGCCCTTTAGTATTCCATTAAAAGGCATTTTTTGAATCGTTAAGAGATGAATCTTATTTGACAAAAAAAAAAATTGATCTAAAACCCTTTGGATGATTTTGTATCTTGGGCTTTCCTTGATCATTCAGCACCTAATTTCATTCTGAATAATTACCAAACAATTATATTTCATTTTGCACTATATTATATGAGCCTCTTAATTATTCTGACAACTTAATCATTCTACAACAAACCATTAAACAACTTCCATATTATCAGCTCATAATACTTGTATAAAAGACAATTAAATTTAACAAGACTTGTCAAATAATTAACTTATAAAAAATTCATAATTTGCTTCTATACAAACTTGTATTTTATAATTTATCAAATATTTAAAATATCATTTTATCAATAAAAAGAATTAATAAATTATGTACAACGGTATAAGAAATTTAAGGAGAAATAAAAAACTGAAGTAAAACCCGACACTTTTAACCGTATTATGTAGTATGGTTTGTGGTTTTGAGTTATCAAACTGTTGTTCAAACTACACCACACCGTATATTTTCTATCTTTTTTTTAATTTTATATATAACATATAATTCATTATTTATGCAATATTTTTGGACTTTGTGTTTTGGACACGTCATAATTCACACGTCCAATTTAGTTTGAACTTTGATTTTTTTTCCTTAGAATATTTTTAATCATGCAATATGTACTTGGTAATCAGATGTACTAGAACTCTTTGTTTTTTGGACTATGGTCACTTTATCGTTGATTTTATAATGTATTTTTAAACTTATAATTATTAGATTATATGCATAAAGTGCAATAGGTACAAATCGCATAAACCATATTTATAAATTTGGTACAACAAGCCGTACAACAAACACACCTAACATATATATGGAAGGATTAGACCAGTCTATTTTCATTAGATTCTTGAGATCAAACTTTTACACTTGAAACTTCACAGTAAAACATTATAAAGGTAAAAAAATCTGAACCTTTAACAAAGACACTATTAAGGTTATCTTAACAATGTTTTACCGTTAAATTTCAAGTGTAAAAAAATGGTCTCACAAAAACAGGTTAATCTAAAAAAACAGGTTAATCTCATGTTATCCCAACTCTATATATAAATAATACTTTTATCAAGACTTCAAGATTATGATGACAATTGCGAAGAAAGGACTATGGTTTTGTTTTGCATGACAAAAGAGCCTTTTCAGATTTATTAGAGTCTGTGTTATGTCTAGTCGCAGTGGTAACAATCATGGATACTTAATTACGGTTGCCAGCCACCCTCATCCACCACCACCACCACCACCTACCTTCATCAACAACAATCACTTCAAGTCTCACTTAATTCCATGGATCATCATCAACAATATTTCTCTCCGCCACCGCACCACCATGATTCAGTCTCTGCCAACACCTGGCCTTCCGTCCTGCTCATGGAAGCAGCCCATGCCGTGGCAGAGAAGAACCACCACCGCCTGAAACACCTCATGTGGCTGCTCAACGAACTCAGCTCCCCCTACGGTGATACTAACCAGAAGCTTTCCGCTTATTTCCTTCAGTCACTTTTCACCTGTATCATGGATTCCGGTGACCGCTGTTACCAGATTTTATCATCGGCGGCGGACAAAATGTTATCTTTCGAATCCACCCGAAATATGGAGCTTAAATTCCAAGAAGTCAGCCCTTGGACGACGTTCGGACACGTGGCATGCAACGGAGCCATTATGGAGGCATTCAACGGCAAGACCAAATTGCATATAATCGACGTCAGCACCACCTACTGCACCCAGTGGCCGACTTTTATGGATGCCATCGCCACCGGCACCGACCAAACACCCCACCTCCGCCTTACCACAGTAATCGCCGCCAAATTTTGCGGCGCCGGAGTTCAGAAGGTCATGAGAGAGATCAGTCATCGGATGGAGAAATTCGCTAGATTAATGGGCGTTCCATTTAAATTAAACGTCTTACACCACAGCGGCGATTTGTCGGAATTGAATATGAAGCGGTTAGACATTCAAGACGACGAAGCTCTAGCCATTAACTTGAACGGCACGTTCCGTTCCGTTTGCAGCCACCGTAGGGACCATCTGCTATCGATGTTCCACGGCCTAAACCCTAATATCTTAACGATCGTGGAAGAAGAAGCTGATTTGAACATGGGATCATTTAACGGGTTTGAATTCCTGAAAGGGTTTCAAGAATGTTTGAGATGGTTTAGGGTTTACTTCGAGGCTCTTGACGAGAGTTTCCCGACAACGAGTAGCCAGAGATTGATGCTAGAAAGGTCAGCGGGGCGCGCGGTTATGAACTTGGTTGCATGCTCGCCGGAGGAATCAGTGGAGAGGCGAGAGACGGCGGCTAAGTGGTCGAGCAGGCTGCACGCATGTGGATTTTCTCCTGTTCGTTGTCGCGACGAAGTGTCCGACGATGTGGTGGCGCTGCTGAGGAGGTATAGAGAGGGGTGGTCAACGAATACGGCGGAAACGGTTGCCGGAATATTCTTGAGATGGAAGGAAACGCCGGTGGTATGGGCGAGTGCATGGAAACCTATTTGATTCTTTTTTTTTAAACTCATAAACCTATTTGATTCTTACTTACAGCGAAAGAAATGAGAATTGGATTATTTTTATTTCATATAAATTTAGTTAATACAATTCTATCTATTAATTTTATTCTCATATATATATATATATATATATATATAGTATATTTCAAATACAACTATGTCCATTTGTACGATCAATACAACTCAATCAATTGAAATATTTATGTAAATAAAGAAAGTTCATTTATTATGATTTAGATATTTATGAAAGATCGATGACTATAGTTCATTCATTATGATCAAATACTTTATATTAGGAAACAGTCAAAACTTTTATGAAATCACATATTTATCAAATTAAATGGACGGTTGAAATTGAGTTGTATTGGTTGTACAAATATAAAAGATTGTATAATAACGCACATCTCTCTCTCTATATATATATATAACTTACCTTTTATATTTTTAATGAATGATTTAACTTGAATCTGATAATAAAAATGTATGGTGATGCTATTTAACACCCTTATAGTATCTGATTATATATATATAATCTCTTTTTTAATGGTGATGCTATTTAAAACCCTTATAGTATCATAAGCAGATCAAATCATGGATTCGAAGTTAAAAGCAAGTTTTGATAATAATGTGTCTAAGGGTCGTTTACCATGTAAGCGTTTATCAAGTCACGTTATCTTACCGGATGAATATGACAAAAGATCAAGAGTTTTACCCGGTAAAGGTAAAAGCAAGGACCGAAAGTCTTATCTGGTAAGTGAGACAACGATTCTTATCACGATTAACGCATACCAGGGGAATTGTTCCATATGATACTGTTTCGGTGGACTAAATTTTACCCAGTAAGTAAATGATAATGCTGAATTTTACAGAAAAAATGTTTATCCCGAAAAGCATTTAGTAAATAATCTCTTACAAAATTTGCATTTATCCTATTTTTTATTAGACATAAAGAATAATGAATAGGGTTTTGAATTTGATTGAACAGAAGCAAAAAGTACAATTTTCGCAGATTTTATTCACAAAATTGTACTGCAAATATGTGTCGTAAGTGACGCGTATCTTTGAAAGACATATTTATTATATCCCCAAAAAATATGATTAAAACATAATTTTTTAAAAACGAAATTATGATAAGACTAAACATAGCAAAAATATATCAGAGCAGAAGATTAAATTAACGTTTGTTTTTGAAAAAAAATAATCAAAATGGAACCAATTTTTACCTAATTTTCATTTTGAAGAACCAATTTTTAAAATCGTCATTTTGGGGAACCAACTTGCACCTGATTCTTATTTTGGGGAACCAACTTTCAAAATCGTCATTTTGGGGAACCAACTTGCACCTGATTCTTATTTTGGGGAACCAACTTTCAAAATCGTCATTTTGGGGAACCAACTTGCACCTGATTCCTATTTTGAGGAACCAACTTACAAAATAATCATAGAAAAATAACTAAAATTCGGTTTTTTTCCAAAAATTAATGCAATAAAATTTATTTTTCATTTCAAATCTCGTTTTTTTAATTAAGATATCAAATTGAACATTTTAGAAAAAATCCAAATTACCACATTAAAAATTACTTTTTACTAATGTAAAAAAATCAATTTAATAAAAAAAAAAAATTGATGCAATAAAAAATAAATATTAAATATCACATTCAAGATTTTTATATCTAATCAATCAGTATCAATTAATTTTTTCTATTAAATTAATTTTTTTTTGCATTAGTAAAAAACAATTTTTATTATGGTAATTTGGATTTTTTTTAAATGTTCAATTTGATATCTGAATTAAAAAAAAACAAGATTTGAAATAAAAAATAGATTTTATTGCATTAATTTTTGGAAAAAAACGAATTTTATTATTTTTCTATAATTATTTTGCAAGTTGGTTCCCCAAAATAGGAATCAAGTGCAAATTGGTTCCCCAAAATTACGATTTTGAAAGTTGGTTCCCCAAAATGACGATTTTGAAAGTTGGTTCCCTAAAATAGGAATTAGGTGAAAGTTGGTTCCATTTTGGTGCAATTTTCCCTTTGTTTTTTAATAAGTGCTAAAGTCTGAAATTTAAAGTACGATTTCACTTCTGATTTATAAGAGGTGATGCTGAAGTCTGAATCAGTCAGACTGTTTCTTTTTACATTTGAAGTCTGAAATTTGAATTAGTCAAACTGTTTGTTTTTACGTTTGAAGTCTAAAATTCGAATCAATAAAACTGTTTGTTTTTTGTAAACTGACAAACATCTGAAATCTTAAATCTGAATCAATTCATTTTAATAAAATTCAACTGCACTGAAATATCCAATCATTTAAACCATTTGTAAACTACCATCTATTTTTAACACATTCAAAACTTCAACTGACATGTGTTAATTGATTTCCACACAATATTAAACACGAACAAAGTCTCATAATAACTAGAATCAATATTCATTTTGCATTAATTGTGTCACAATTTATTCTCTTAAACTAGCTATATATGTTTAGTCAGCGGCACTCCTATGCGATTGAACTTCTTTAGCCTCATCCTCACCATCGTCCCCTTACTCGTTGGTTTGATCATACTCAAAAAATAACATCACTTAACCCTTCCTTTCGTATGAAGTAGTGAACCGCAAAACATGCAATAACAACGTCTCTTTGAACCTTAAGTGTAAATGGTGTAATTCTTTTCAATATCGGAAAACATGCTTTCAGGACATCATAAGAACGTTCAATAACATTTGTAAACTTTGCATAGGAATGACTAAATTTTTCATACCTGTTCATTGCTCGTCGACAACGAAAATCTCCGAACCAATATCTAACACTACGATACGGCGCACTAAATTCTCGAGTATTTGTATACGCAACATCACATAGATAATATTTATTTGAAAACAATAAATAAAATAGCTATCATTTATTTTTGGGTTAGCTTCACATGACACACTTCCTCAAGCTTTGTTGCCAACTTTGCCCAAGTTTCTTTTCGAAGACTACCCCCATTTCGACCCACTTTATTGACCTCTTCTATACAAGTATTTAAAAAGCATTTGATAATTTCATTTATCCACCTTACACGTGCACTCTCGTAATATGATTGTAAAATACATATGAAGATGTATTTATGAACCATCATTACAAATTGTCTCCATTGTTTTCCTATATGAAATGTTGGTTATAATTAATGAAATTTAATTATTTTTCATAAGTATTCAGATCATAATAAATAAACATTTATCATTTTTATAAATATCTCAATTGATTAGTTTGTATTATAAACGTTCTCTTGCAAAAAAAAATACACCTACATATCATACACATCAACATCAAGTATTTCAGTTTCAAAATACGATTTGATCTGAATTTAATATAAATAAATATACATAAAAAATACTATTTAATAAAAAGTTATATTACTTGTAAAGAAAAGGTAAATTGTACTACCTTTTATCTTTGTTGGACCAAAGGTTAATCAGCGGTCAGTGTGGATCCTATGGCGTGGATCCTTCCCTGCAGCACGATTTTGTTGAATAGTTTTATTAATTGCAGGATCTGAATTGCTAAAAAATAAATCTTGTTTGGTAAAAAAAGTTCGTCTCTTAATAGTTTTAAAACCCTCAGAATGATTTTGTATCAACTGCTAAACAGCCATGACTTAACAGACCTTTTTTTCTTCTATTAATACATATCTGAAATAAAGATAAATAAATCAAGACTACATGATACGTTTTCAAATTCGGTCATTTCTAGGTATCAGACGTAGATTCCATGCAAAATCGGGAAACGGGGATAGTGACAGGAATCCTCAAAAGTTAAAAACTGGGGACGGACGGAGCCAAGTAATGTGATCTTGGACCCACCCCGTCCTCATATATTAAATATTTATTATTAAATATATTATTTATTAGAAATCAGATTCAATATCATTTAAATTTAGAAATAGTTTTTTGATGTTTCTTCTTATATATATTTTTTCTAACTTGTTTTACCTTTTTTACATTAAAAAAAATGGAGAGATGAAACCCTCTGATCATATAATTAAATATGATGTTGTGATTTTGTTGACATATGAATATTTGATACTCCGTAAAACAAAATTGTAAAAATATGTGAGATTTAGTGTGTGTATATATATATATATATATATTATTTATTTTAATAAAATTAGGTCCTAACCGGGGACGAGGATCCGAGTTTGACTAGAAAATAAATCGGCGATGAGATATTAATCCCCGTACCGCCGGGGGCCAGGGGCCGTTCATAGAAACCGGGGCCAGGGATTAGGAAAGTAAAGATATATATACGGACAATGTGTTTTACATGTTTTAAATCATATCAACATGTTGTATGAGGATCCTATGTTTTAGTACTATACATTAAAAACCAACCAAATAACCCCTTACATTATTAGGGTATATTTCAAATGCAACCATGTCTATTTGTACAATCAATGCAACTCAATTAATTGAAATATTTATGAAAATGATAAGAGTTCATTTATTATGATTTGAATATTTATGAAAGATGACTACAGTTTATTAATTATGATCAATACTTTGTATTATGAAACAATCAAAATTTTTATAAAATCATATATTCATCAAATTAAATGAACGGTTGAGATTGAGTTATATTGATTGTATAAATATAAAAGGTTATATAATAACTCAGATAACATTTATTAAATATGAATTTTGTTAATTATTTTTCGTTAACATGTAAGAGCCAGCTTATTAGTTATTTTGCAGACATTCCCAAAATAAAGATCCCTCTTTCTACCATGTTCTCAATCTGTGTAATTTGAGATGAAATTTATCAGTAAATAACTACAGACTAAACGAACCCGGTAAATCTCACGGTAGATGACTACATTGGTTCCGGCCATCTAACATGCTCTATCGTTATTTCTCTAAATACACACTCATACACAATAATACAACCTACGACTGGTATATATAATAATGTACACACACCAATTACACCCGTAAAACTCGGGAAAATGAAAAATGAAATACCTCTACGTCTCTACGTATTATTTCTTCCCACTCCATTTATACGGAAGTTTCCATCTTTTATGCCAATAGACGGAGACCCGCGGCCACAATGGGAAACCAAATGAGTAATCGAGAGGGCGGTCTACCGGTCCCCCGACCAGTAACGGCAACCATACGTACCTGGAGTCCCTTAAATCTGCAGGGTTCCATCGGTCCGCCATGAATATGAAAACACCCGGTAACCCTTGTAATGGAATCACAAACGTGCTTTGTGCAAAGAACGTGGTGAGTCGGAAGATCTTGTTACCTCCAACGCACGGGTTCCCCATCGTCTCCCATGGGCCCATAACAGATTCCGCTGCATGAGCCAGGGCCTCGTTTGGAGCCCACCCTGTGCAACCCGAAGTCACCATGTAATAGGTCCCTTCGTGCTTGAACAGAGCGGGGGCTTCACGGTGCTGGCCCACGAGAATCCGTCTCATGACATTTGTCACGTCAAGATAATCTCGAGTGAGTGGTCCAATATGGAGCTCACTGTTGTCTTCAGACGAGTAAACGAGATACGCCACACCATCGTCGTCTTTGAAGATGGTCATGTCTCGGCTTTCGAACCCGTGTGGTCTCATGCTTTTGATGTACTCAAAGGGACCGGTGGGCGAATTGCCAATGGCAACTCCGACAGAGGCTTTCGTGTAGTTGGCATCATCGATATGCATCCACATTATATATTTACCTGTATTCTCGTTATAAATTACTTTCGGTCTTTCCAACACGTTAGACTTGTGAAGATCATGGGTCTCGTCGGTTTCTTCTGCAGCAAGAACGATGCCCTCGTTTTTCCATGCCCACAGATCTTTCGAAGAGTAGCAACCGACACCTATGATGTCAACCTGCAATCGAAATGATAAATAATTCTCGAACTCTCTTACGAGGACAAAGAGACAAATGCATGTACAGAAATGGCCTTCATGGAAGTCACTTTTACAGACTAACCTTCTGCTGTTCTTTAAGATTTGAGAGGGGCAGGATGTTTTACACAAGAGGGCATAGGCGGGTCCTATGGATAAATGACCTTAATTCTTTTTAGGTCAATGCCCCTGGTTCAATACAGCCTGCCCCCGTTAAAAACAGCCCTACAAGTCCGACCCCAAAGAGGCAAAATATAAATGGTGTTTGGTACACTAGACATGACAGAACATAAGAGCGATCATTGTTCTACGTTTGGCAGGACTTTATATGGATAAGACTTGAACAAAGTGGAATAGGCATGTTTCACCCCCACCCCATAAAACAAGGTGGAAGAGACCTATATTTTACCAATATAACCTCAAAATAAAACGTAATTCTCTTCTAAAACATCAAATAAGTCTCTCTTTACATTTTATTTATTCTTTAAATTTTATTTATCGTATTTTATGTTTTTTAAACCCTCACTTTGTCTTCAGAATATTATTTTTATACAGAATCTATATTTTCGTTAATTTATGTAATTTATTAAATATTAATAATAATGAAATAATATAGAAAATGTATATAATAAAAATTGGAAACAACATAAACTTTTTATTTTGGTGTCATTTTAATCGTGTTGACAAAAACTTTTTAATGATATATTTTGTAATAAAAATATTTATTTTATTGTAATTTAATAAATTTCATAAATTAATCAAAATATCTAAAAGATATAATCAACACATTAGGGGTATCTGTTATGTCCTATCCAGTTATGTCTTAGTCAAACGTTGAACAGTTGTTCTTCCTGTTTTGTCCTGCCTAGATACTAAACGCACCCGAAAAGAATGCACAAATTTGCAAACAACGGAACTCATGGAGCAGCTAAAAACTGTGGCTTGAAACAGGCTGACAAAATACTTTCGAGCGATTCAGAGGAGAGCAAAGCTTGCTCGGCGGAAAAGTAAACTGGAAACAATACAAGAACTCCACATGCATGAAGTATGGTTAGAAGATATGAGAGTGCATTTGCCTATGGGCAAAGCTCGAGAAGAGGCCTATTTTTTCTAATAACCGTGGGTGTCCAGGTAGGTTTATGTGCACCTCGAATAATCCTATAGGGTCCTGAAGTTAAGGGCTGGGAAAACCTCCAGTGTCCCGGAGGGGAGTCGAACTAATGACCACTAGAGAGCAAATTCAAGGTCTTATCATGAGGGGACTCGAACTAGTGACCACTAGGGAGCAAACCAGGGGCGGATGCAACATGCAAAGGGTGGGGGGATGGCCCCCCAGTAATTTTTTTTTAAAAACTATTTTTTGTACTTTCTACTATAGCTCCCCCCAGTAACTTCCCGTTTGTGCCCCCACCAACCAAAAAAATTACCTCGAAATCAACCAAAAAACCGAAAAAGTACCTCAAAATCAACCAAAAAACTTTAGAAATCCCTCGAAAGTTGACTTAAGCTAAAAACACGTAAACTCTACATTAAAGGTGCCCCCACTAGGTAAAAATCCTGGATCCACCACTCAAGCAAACAAGGAACATAATTCTGGCAGCTGAGACCTATGATTCCGCCCCCTCCTTTCCCCCAAGCAGAAGGAACATAAAAGAAAAAGAAATCTAGTTAAATAAGCCAGCACTAGCAATTAGCTTCCAACCAGTGCAGTTAGTTAAAATGTTGAAGCCAATGGTTCCAAAAGGAAACAATATATCTCCAACAACAGCAATGCCATAATTTTTATCAAGATAGAGTATTAGAGGTCAAAATCTCCAAAAAAATTACATTTAACTCCAACAGCTACTCTATTTTAGCATTTCTATCAACTATAACATTAAAATATTCAATATATTTAATAAAATATTATTTCTCTCTCCTAAACACTTAATTTCGATTCCTCTTATTGGTGGGAAAATAATAAAAGAAGGGTACCACCGTATTGTTTATTGGGTACCACCATATAGTTTTCGAAACTGAAATATTAGCACAACTGCGCAAGACTTTAATGGTGGAGATGGTAAATGTTCCTGCTTTTGTACAATATGCCTTGGTTCAAGTCCCACTATCATCAAATTTGTTGTTTTAGCTTAAATTTTGGTTTTCTTATATATCTCTTGTGTTTTTTAAAATATATGTAGACACGACTCGGCATCGGTCTCATCTATGCAGGAATAAGGAACCAACCAACAGATCTATACTAATATTTCACATTTTTTTCTTTGGATATTTTTTTATAGTCAAATTGTGACACCACTTAAAAAAATCTGGGTCAGCCTCTGGGGTGGAGACCGAAGAGATGGCACTTTAGGTTACTTAGTGCTGCTCGACTATATGTGGGTCTCGGTTTTTTCTTGTCCTATTAGGTTTTAGTTTTACTACTTTGCTTTCCTTGTTTTTTTTTATCTGTACCTATTTGCACACACTCCTCAGCAACCTTTTCCACCTGTCTCATAATTTTTGTTTTGCAAGTCGGGGGTCTTCATAGAATCAACCTCTTTGTCCCTTGGGTAGAGGCAAGATTTGCATAGAAACTACCTAGGGCCGTTCCTCGGAGAGGGCCGGCCGGGCATACGTCCAGGGCCCACAAGAAATAGGGGCCCAATTTTTTTATAATATAGTACTATATTAGTAGCAAGAAAAGTTAGTAAATAAAAGACATAAAAATTTTAAAATCTAATAGGGCCCAAACATGTATTAATTACATTGGAAAAGAAAATATGTAAAAACAAAAAAAATTAATTGGTTGTTCATTTTATAGTATTGTTGATTGTCTCTCAGGTGTTTTATCTTAAACTACTTACCTATAAAATCTTGATATATTTTCTATCATTCATCATTCACCAACATTTTTGATTATTTCATCTGCATGAATTTTATTTTTGTATTAGAATATGGTAGATTTCTTGTTATTAACTAAGAAAATTTCTATCGTTTGAAAAAAAATTACCAACAATATGAGACGGTCCAACTTATATCTATATTTAGAATTTCAAAACTACCATCGTTTTTCATGCACTATTGACTCCTTATACCTAATATTTAGTGAACGAATTTCAAGTACTCTCTTATCTCCAAAACAAGAATAAGATCTCAAACTATAACTAACATGCCATTTGATTCTAAGATTGATGGTTTTGAAAAAGATGTTTTCAACCCTAAAAGTTTAGAACGGTGATGAAAAACTATAACCTGCGGTAAGATTGGAAACACAACTGATTTATATTAATTTACATAGAGTGTTACTTAGAATAGTCAACATTATGACTCCAAATGATGTCAATCTATATATTAAGGTAAATCATAGGATGTTTTCTACGATGGAACGAATTGATGATGTTATGTAAATGATATGGTAGATAATATTAATTTTAAGATGATCGGTTTTGCGTTTAGTAATACTTGGAAAAACAGTTTTATATGAATTATTAGTATTCCTTGAATTCAATGTTATTTCTAATTTAAAAAACGACATATTAAATATTATTTTCATACTTATCGAGGGATCTTTTTTATATTTCGCTAAGCAATTATGCCATCTATAAACATTGACTTAAGAGTTGGTGATAAAGGAGCATAAGATTTAAAAGGAGAGGTCATTGACAAAGTTATTAAACAAATCAATCAATGTTTGAAGATGTGAAAATACGTGGAACCTCCATAACACTCTCCAAAAGAGCCCTTGAGGAGAAAGGGGAGGTTCCAACATATATACAGGAGATATGGTCAAGTCTAGCCAATGTGGGACTCCAACAGAAAACAAACAAAACTAATTTCAAGCACCACATAAAAATCAAATTAAACAAACCCAGTTGTATCCCACCCGAGGGTTGGGTCTGGGGAAGGTAAGATGTATGCAGACGTGACCTCTACCCAAAGAGTAGAGCGGTTGTTTCCAATTTCAAGCACCATAAAACTATTTAAAACTTCTTAAGGTTAAGATACTAACCCGTGCCGCAGCCTTTTTGTGAGCATGGTAAGTGGGCCCATCTTTGTATTCACCATACCAGTAGTAGGTTCTTGATCGGTCATCATATAGAATACCTCCTCCATGAGCTTGAATAGGATTCCCATCAGTATCCAACCAGATACTACCAGGATGATAATAAAGACTCTCATTACCCGCATCTTTGATTGGATCTATGGCAGTTTTTGGACCAGGAAAGAATATGTATCTAAGTTGAGAAGATTCATCAAGAAATTCTTCAATCAGGGTGGTTGGCCTTTTAGGCTTCCGTTTTATAGCCCGTGGGGACCGCTTCCTTGGTGGCGGAATGTTTATATTCTCGTCCTCCACTTCCACAAGTTCACGAAATAACGGAAGGTGAGTCGTGCGCATTTGGGTTAATCCACCTTGATTGTGTTGATTTTGATTAAGGAAGTAAAAGTGGAAGATAACAAGGCATCCTATGATGCTGCATACCACAATGGAGAACTTATATCTGCTTCCTGCATAGCAATGTAAAGTGGTTGGTTTCCGGTATTTGTTCCTCATCCTCATTTTGTTCTCCATTTAACCTTCAAGATAATGATGCAGTTAAGAAAAAGCAACCTATGGAGATCGATCCAAAAGTAGTGTCACAATACTGCTACTGTGGATAAAAGGAAAATTTTCTTGTTTGTATTGATGGATTATTATATGATCAAGGAAAAATTCGGTTTCTCTTTCTATTTCAACAATAAATAAGTTTCCAAATTTGAACTGTAAGATGATATGGACATATGTTACCATCAATGCATTTTTCTAGTTTTAGTTAACTAATGCTAAAATTGTCAAAAGGATTATTCGTCACTAAACCAAATCAAACGAAACCAAACCAAACTAGACTAGTATATCCCACCCGGAGGTGGTGTAAACCTATCATCTACCCTAAGGAGTAGAGCAATTGTTTCCATGAAGACTTGGCTTGTGAAAAAGGATTATTACTCAGTGGCATGCTTAAAAACATACAATCAACAAAATATTCCATTTTGCTGTAACCGTGGGGTCCAGACCTGCTTGTGCACGCTTCGACTAATCGCCCTAAAGATAATAACTAGGAAAATCCACAATGGTGCTGAAGGAGGCTCGAACCGGCGACCTACACGCAGGAGCCCAAGGCCCGGCCTGGTCTTTGATATGGTTGAGCTAGCTCAAGGTTACTCCATTTTGAAAATGTCTCCCTAGTTCTTTGCTGAAATCTATGGTGTGCCTTTGATAAGTAACAAATTGAAAACAGGAACTATGATTTAAAAGGCAACAAAAAGGATAAAAAATCCTTGAACAAATAAAACCCTAGTTTCACGTTTGGGAACCCCAATTAGAAAGCTCCGAATGAAGAAAAATCACATCAAGATCGTATACAGAAGCTCGAATCCATGGTCTCGATCATCCTTAATTATCATATACTAAGAAAGAAGTAGAAATCGAACAACCAAATTAGAAACGATATCAAATTAAACCAGTATTAAACAACCAAAACCAAATTGGGTATAAATCAAGTTGCGTAAACCTTCAAAACACATAGACAATCAATACCCTCAAAGATTTGAAGCAAATAAAGTTAGTATCATACTTTAAGAACTTATACCTGATATCATTAATAACAAGCGATCAATCCACCATGAAGGTGAAGCAATCTGAGCTCAATCGACCAAAGACCGTTGTGAAATTTGTAAAATTGGTTTGTTGAGGCTAAATTTTGGATCTGGATGTGATGGTAATCGATGGTGAATGCGACTTTGGACCAAATTTGGCTCAATCTGTTTCTCTCTCTCTAGCTTTGTGTATGCATCTATGGATGATGAATCTTGCTCTTTATGTGTGCTGTAGAAGATAAATTCAACGACTAGTTGGTTTCTGTCATAATATTCGTTGGATCGGCGTCTCCATTTCAATGCCAGGTGGACTCCTATTTTACCACCAAGAACTAATTTTACCATAATTTCTGTATATGTAATGTGCTTTTTGCAAAAGAATTAAATTTGATTTAAATAAAATAAAATAAATATAACTTGATTTAGAATTATGTGAGACCAGTCTGTTTTCGTAAGACCTATTAGGCTATTTTTTACACTTGAAACTTTACAGCAAAACTCTGTGAAAGGTAACCTTCACGGTATTTTTGTTATGAAGGTTCGTGATGATTCGGGTTTTTTTTACCTTTACAGTGTTTTACTGTAAAGTTTTCGATGTAAAAAAATGGTCTTACGAAAACAAGTTGGTCTTACATGAACCCAACTCATAAAACATAACAGTCTCAGGTTAAAAGTATTAAATATTAATTATAGTTTTTGATTTAATATAATATAATAGTTTCATTTTTCAGAATCAGAAACCAAAAATTTTCATTCCTAATCAAATTTGGAACAATAAAAATTCATTTCCATTTTCAATCATTATTATTGTGATCCTTATTTTCATTTTTAGTCCCTGCTCCCTAGCGTGAACCAAATGATACCAAACTTTTTATTCGTAACAATTTGTTTGGTTGGTTTTTCATTAAGTTATGTATGTATTGATAAAGTTGTTTGTATGGATTAATTTGTCTATATAAATTGCGAATGTTTTTGTTTGGAGGGTTTTCTCATATATGAAAGAAACGTGTTTTTTAATTAGGAAAAATTTTGATTTTTTGCATAAAGTTCTTCTCTAAAAGCTTATTGGATAAGTCATTTTCTATATCATAAGTCACTAACAAACAATCATGTATAGTTGGTAGAATAAGTTGCGAGCGTTATTAAGTTGCAAACAAAAATGGCTTGAGTGTTTACTATGTATCATTTATTTTACCATGTGAGCATGAGAAGGGTCAAGCATCTTACCCGGTAAGAAACATAGCAAAGATCGATAATCTTATTTGTCAAGTGGGAAGGTAGGGACTCTCACCTGACAATTGCTTGCTAGGTAAAAGTCGTTCACTAAAAATTCATTTTGATAGCCGAGAATGTTGACAAATAAAATAAATGATGATGATGACTTTTGCTAATAAACAATTACTCAGTAAGCATTTGATTAAACGAATATGGTGAAGAATATTGGTGGTCCAAATTTCGTGTTTCGAAATCCAAACTAGTCCCTCCATTTAATGTTGTTAGTTTGTACTTCATTTTGTCATTATATGCCCCTCGGATGAGAGGCAATATGATTTTTTGCCTCTGTTTCTTGTTTTTCTTTGAGTGAATTACATTTTTGCCCCTTATCTATGGTAACAATTTTGGTTTTGATTCTTTCTCCCTTGTGATTACATAAACACATTCAAGACGATGGAACCCTTCTTTCTTATTCAAGAGCCACCTGTCGCCTCTCCCTTTCTCAATGAACCTCCGTCAGTGCCCCTCTAAACACGAATACTATGAGAGATCATGATGCAAGAACATGAAGGTATTTTTGGCTTCCAGAAACAAGCCCTTAACACGAAGAGGGTTTGTCTTCTAGATCAGGACATCTCGATTTAGGATGAGATTAAGATCTGGATCTAGAGGGTTCTAATGTTTCTTCATGATTGTGCTTCAAGATCTGGTTGTGTTTCATGATCAAGGCATATCGATTTTGTCATTTGGTTGTGTTTAATCCTCCATTTTTTGTTTAGGGTTTGTAATTTAGGATTCTAATGTTCTTCATTTATGATTTTATAATTTAAATTTTTAACTTTTAGATGCTGAAAGTATATTACAGCATGTGCTACAGGATGATTCTAGGAGCATTTTGGGTAATAGTACGGTAGTCTTTTGTGATCTTATCCACCTTTATAGCAGCTCATCTCATGCGGAATTGAAGATTTCAAGTACAAAGTTAAAATATTCTATTTGTACTATCTTTTGAGATATCATGTTTTGTCTTTTGAGTATTGTAAAAAGTATGATATTAACTTTATTTTTTGGTTCATATGCTCCCTTTTTCCTACTATATAAAGGATGAGATTTTAGACAGTTGAGGTAAACAGTTTTAGAAGTTAACTTTCAAATGCAATTGTAATGTAGAAGTATCTTTAACATTTTCTCTAAATTCAATAAACTTTTGTCTTTATTCTCTTTAGCATTTATACCTTTTATTTTTCCTTTCTCTTCTTGTATTTTAATTTCCATTAATGTATTTTATCTTTTATACAATCAGTTTTATTATTTCAAGTATGGTAGGGTAAAAATATAGCATGAGAGTGGGGTGATGTTTAGATATAAAACCGATTCTTTTTTTTATAGAAATTATTAAATAAATAATAAGTCTCTTCAACCACATCTTTTAAGCTTATATTGCAAAAAAAAGATAGCATAAATGGACAAGTGGATCACATGTTTAAAAGTGTTAAAATGTGTTGGATTTAGAAATAAGCCAACAAGCACACGTCAACTTGGATGATATGAAAGTAGACTCAAGAAAGCTACTTAGAATCAAGGAGACTCATTTTCGTTCCATTTAACTTATATAATAAATAGTTTGAGCTAATGTCGAGACTCTAGCCTTACATAGAGATATGAAGGCTTTGTCTATGAATATGTGTCACTCTATATCTCTCGAGAGTACCTTAAAGAAGCTATTGGTTGTAACGACAAGTCATTTATAAAAGCATGCTATAAGACCGTGTTGTAGCATGTTGTCTACTTAAAATCAGTTGAATATCTTAACAAATTGCCTACACCTGAGCTTCCTTTTATTAATTGTTTGCATCAGTAGTTTTTAAAACAACTCACCAAAAATATTTTTTCGACTTCCCCATCCGAAATCATCTTTTTCACTAGACTAAATTTAACTTTTAGATCTTTTCAACGTAGATCGATACTCGATATGTTACCGTTTTATTATTTGTAAAATACGACAATGGATTGATAAATATATACTTGCACAAGTCTCCATTTACTAGTCCAAGAGATTTATTTTATATAAATCTCGCATCAGTGTTCGTTTCACATATATTTGTTTCACAATGTGAACCTTTCTAACCTGTTTGTGAAAACAAAAGTTACACGTAAAAAGTTTCATATTGTGAAACGCATACATATAAAGCAAACATATTGTGAAACAAATATATGTTCATCAATAGCTAGTCTGAGATGAGAAAAAATCATGCGAAATAATATCTTAAGATAAAAGTTCTCACAATTATCACAACATATAAGTCGTTTACCAAACACTTACCCGATGAGTGTTTACCAATAAAATTTAACACTATTAATTACTTACTGGGTAAAATTTTAGTCTATCAAAACGACATTGTATGCAACAATTCACCCGGTAAGCGCTTACCATGGTAAGAGTCGTTGTCCTCACTTACCAGGTAAGACTTATAGTCCTTGTTTCGCTCTTACCAGGTAAGATTATTGGTCCTTACCATATTCATTTGGTGAGGTAATGTGACTTGGTAAACGCTTACACGGGTAAGTGTTTGGTAAACGACCCCTAAATCCATTTTCTGATAAATTACAAATAAGAATAGAATTTAAAAAAAGGAATATTTGCAACTCATGAGTAAGAGCTTTTATATTTCCTTGTTATCACAAAGACAATAAAGTAATGGTCTTAATGTAGAAGCTAATAATTATTTAATTTGTTTGTTAAATTATATTTTAAATTTAAAAAATTATGATTAAATAATTTCATTAAAGTAAAAAAAAAATCATAATTACAAATAAAGTAATTGAATCATTGAGAAGTTTATAATTATTTTATTTTAAATTTTAAATAATATTTTAAATTTAAAAGATGTATGATTAAATAATATTCTTAAATTGATAAAAAAAAAATGAAATGTTATATGTTTTATGAAATTAATAAAGTTGTATAAGGTTGATGACTAAATTTCAAAGTCTTCAAACATAAAGTGGTGTCTGATTGGTTTGAGCTTGACTTTAAATGTCAAAAATATCAGGAGGTCCCAGATTCAAATCCAAGAAGGAATAAAAATCCTTTTGTGGCCACGGATGTTCAAATGCATTGACTCCGGGCTATCTGCAAAGCAGATGATCGTCTTGAGATTAGTCGGCTCGCATAACGGGTTGGATATACAGGTTAAAAAAAAAGTCATCAAACATATTGGTGTTATAAAGTAACAATTCTAACCATTGATTGTATTTCTTTAACCAAAAGAACTAAATTGTAACGTTCATTACATATATAAATGAAAACGATAAATTAAAAAAATTCAATTGATTGTAAGAAAATGCAAATTAGGTAATTTGTTATAATCTAAGACGTTGTTTGTTTACATCTTAATAGTTTCATAAATAGACAACCTCTAAATCGTTAAGTTGTGAATATTGTTTGACAAAAAAATGTCTCTTAATGGTTCTAAAACTCTCTGAATGATTTTGTATCATGGATTTCTTTTAACCGTTCAGCGCTCTGATTTCATTGTAAACAATCACCAAACAATCATATTTCATTTTGTACTATATCAATTATTCATTAGAGCATTTTAATTACTCTGACCACTAAATTATTCTATATCAAACCATTTAACAACTGTCAACTAGCTTCTTAACTTATTAGATCGTATTTATTTGTATAAATTAATGCCTATCATTCATAAAATATTTAGCTACGCCACCCACAACATTTAAATAACATCAATCCATGAATAATAAATAAAAAAACATGAATTGTAATAATTATCATGAGAAGAAAATATATTTTTATTTTTACCAATAAGAAATTCTGGAACTAAATGTTTAGAAAACAGAAATAATATTTTACTAAATGTATATAATATTTTAATAATATAATTTATGAAATAAAAGTTTTATTAAAATTAAAATGTAATTTTTTAAAAAAATTTGAATTTGAATTCTTTATT